TTTACTCAAATCTTAGACTACTAGACGTTAACTTTTCGAGATTTTTAATTAGCAAATTCTTCAATTACAGAATCTAAATCAATCTGTTGAAGTAATTTATTTTCTAGCATAACAGCTTAAATCGTTTTTAATGAGCTTAAGTTGAGAGAATGAACGTTCTCCGTTGCAATTGCTTATTATTAAAAAAAGATACATGCCTAGTGCAATTGAAACATTTGGAAAAGCATTTACGAGTTTATGCTTACTAATAAATATAAACATAAGCAAGTCTCTAGTTTTGTTTTAGTATGAGAGAATTATCAAAAAAAAAGATCGAACCCCTACAAAAATGGTATAAAGATAAAATTTTGCAGAGAGAAAGTAGACAGTGTTTGGATAAGCGTAAAAAAAAACCGCATTGATTGCGCTACGGGAACAACTCTTTTCAAGCAATTTGCAATTATTAAAAGAGTCAATTTTGACAGCACTAAAATACCATAAACTTTATATCGTAGGATAGAAAATTTTATGCTGAATAATATATATATATATATATATATATATATATATATATATATATATATATATATATATATATATATATATATATATATATATATATATATATATATATATATATATATATATATATATATATATATATATATATATATATATATATACATATATATATATATATATATATATATATATATATATATGTATATATATATATATATATATATATATATATATATATATATATATATATATATATATATATGTATATATATATATATATATATATATATATATATATATATATATATATATATATATATATATATATATATATATATATATATATATATATATATATATGTGAGATCTGAAAACAACATTTTTTTAGGTTATTTACGTTAGAAAAGTAAAAAAGCGTTAAAATACTATACTTTTTTCTTTTCAAAACATAATAACTTTTATCCTAGCGTAACGTTAAATGGGAAAAAAAAATTGGACAGAAATATATTATTTTAAAACAACTTTGAGACTTTAATTAAAGTAAATTTCTATGTCCGATATCTTACTTTTTCAAAGCAAATCATCGAATAATTTCTTTCGTATTCAATTGTATCACTTAAATCTTCTTCAAATTTAAAATCCTAAAAATGTAAAATAATTGTATCACTAAATCAACTAATATATTTTAAGAAAATATAATATATTATAGTGCATATAATATATTAAAAAAATAAAATTTACGATTTTATTACTGCAGTCTTGCCCGTGACAGACACCGCATGCAGACATACATTTTAATTCGTTTTTCCTACAAAAACACGTATTAGCTCCGCACATAATTCTTGACAAAGTTTTTCAATCTCAGCGAATCACTTTTAATATATTGAGTGATGCCACATCTTTTTTTGTTGGTAATGAGAGAAGACAACCATTGTCTAATTTCCATTCCCATTCCTTTGGATCCAAGTGAAAAGATTCTTCTAGCATTTCCATTCAATAACCTGAAGATAAACTCTAAGACCATTTAAATAAGCAAGACGATCTGTGGGTGATAACATTTCTGGCTTATTAATTTGACGTAGGTCTCAATATTTTATATAAATTTCATACCCTTGCTTCAAAGAACTTTGTGGAGCAAGGAACCTCCGTCAAGGACATATTTGCACAAGCTAATGTTTGTACTTAATTTAATTTTGCCATCATGAAGAATGACTTTGCGCAAAGAAGATTTATTTGCTTTCAGCATTAGGTTATTTTTAAATAATGATTGTGAAAGCTCATAATCAAAGTATAGCTCAACGTCATCCTCTCTTTGCAATTGCTGTAAGCCTATTAAAAAGGAATGTTGAATCTACACAACAATTAGTTTGTTTGACTAGTTTTACGGTATTGCTTAAAACATATAAAGAAAAAACGTATTTTTTTATTTAAACTTTGCTTCTTTGAACTTATGACCGTCGAGACAAGTTTGTAAAAGTACACCTATATTTTCAGCCTCGTTGCAGTTGACAAGATCTTCACCATTTACAGACACAACACCTCTAGATAATGAGTATAAATTTCTATCATCAATATTGAATGGATTTCTTGCAGAAACCAGTCATAAAACAACTCACAATGTTCATAATTACATACTAATCTTTGAATGCCCACTTTTTTATTGTTTTCCATAACTACAATGTCAAATCCAAATAATTTATGCATTGCTTTATGAACACTTGCAGAATAACAGATGCTTATTATCAATTCGTTGCGTACATTTTCATAAAATCCTCTACCTCTAGTTAAATCACTATTGCATTCTAGAGAACGCATTAGGGTCGGCTCAATTACAAGATCAAAAGATAGACCAGCCAACTACCTTGCAGATCAGCCACTGCGTGACGACTGTCTAAAAATTGTTGGTTTAACCACGGATTTGTTTCTGAAAAATATTGCATTTCTTGAAAGAATAACCTAAAACACTTGGCATAGTTTGAATGTCCTGATACTGGAAATAAGTTAAGCATTTTTGAGATTGCTTGAAGATGTAAATACCAGTTACAAGTTCACTCTGGAACTAAAAATTTCTTTATGATACCAATATAGTATATGAATACAATATCCAAAGTTTTGCTGTGCGTGATTCATATGATTTCTTTTCCGAATAGGTTAATCTTGTACATTCAACATTTCTCAAAGCATCTTTATTATCAAGTCTGAATAAATCCTCCTTGTTTATACCATTTTGCATTGCCTTTTTATAAGTGTATTTGGTTCCGTATATATTTAGCTTTGATTCGTCAACTACAATATCTATAATATGACTCATCCAAGCACTCTGGACCACCATGTGACCTCTTAAGGTTTTTGCAACAGCTTTTCCTTTAAGCATATATTTTACCGTACCTTCAGAGTAAACTTGCTCAAAAACCTCTTCCAGGCCAATTCTTGCCATTTGTTTTCCAAATGCTTACGAGAAAGCTCATTATTGTGTGAAATCCTCCAGGTTAACATTCTATAATGAGGTTCTGATCTTTTATAACACCGAGCACTTTCAGCCGCAAAGGCTTATCCGACGTAACGCAGGGAGTAATTATTTTATATTTCTTAGCTTCATCAATAATGAAAAACAGTGTAGAATATATGAATGTTTCATCTAAAGAAATTAAGCCAATAATAGATAAAAATTTGATGAATTTTTAAAAATCTATTTCTGTTTAAAATATTATTGTGCTCATTTTCTTTCAATTGTTTTTACTTGAATTCGTGACTGTCATACGCTAGTTTGGCAAAAACATGGCCGCCGTTCTTCCGTATTTTCCGTATGTCCGCTCTCTGAGTATATAGGCTCTCTAATGTTATGTATATGTTGTGCACGGTTAATGTCACGTGATTGCATTTTTAACTTAATATAGTTTTTGTTACGCAAAGTTCCGAGTTTCCAAATCAGTTTAAGTTTATTAACTATGATGGTTCCAAAGAATATACATCTGCTCATTAGTTTCATTAGTTGTTGTTGATTGTGACGTAGTATGCATCATATAACCTAACCAGTTTGGGCGAGGATTATTATTTGATCTAAAAAACCATGACACATACCAAATAAGATCAAAATTCAATTCGGGCTCACGAAATACTTCAGATACAATTTATTTTATTGGTTTAAAACTTACATTTAATAAACCATGATGGCTTGATCCGTGATAAGGCGTTATTTTTAAAGATACGTTAGATAAATTCTTAATAGACTTGTGTTGCAAACGCGTTATGCTTTCATAATTGCATTTAGAAGAAGAATATTTTGATATTAAACTTATTCCGTGAAATGTTCTTTTTCTGTCAATGTGAGAAAGTTGTGATCAACATTGTCAGCCACCTAATGTAGGAAGTTTAGATCTTGTTCTTGCGCAGCATTAACGCTATTAACCGCAGCAGATAACTTGAACAACTTCACGTCATCGAAGAATATTGAAAATCTAAATTTGTAAAAGTGATCCACAAGCCAGTTTGTTGCAGAAGAATTATCAATATCTGCGATAATACCACATTGATTTGGTGCTATCATATATCTTGGTCACGAAGCTTGAGCAATGCATTGTCGTAAAATAATTTGTTGAAGCTTTAAAGAAATTAAATGGCTTAGGAGCAGATATATATTCTTTGGAACCATCATAGTTAATAAACTTAAACTGATTTGGAAACTCGGAACTTTGCGTAACAAAAACTATATTAAGTTGAAAATGCAATCGTGTGACATTAACCGCGCACAACATATACATAACATTAGAGAGCCTATATACTCAGAGAGCGGACATACGGAAAATACGGAAGAACGGCGGCCATGTTTTTGCCAAACTAGCGTATGACAGTCACGAATTCAAGTAAAAACAATTGAAAGAAAATGAGCACAATAATATTTTAAACAGAAATATATTTTTAAAAATTAAACCTTTTTATGTTTTATTTTTTCAAAATAATTTTTCGACAAAATTATTTATTTATTTAGGAAATACCTAAATAAATAAATAATTTTTTAAAGTTTTTAAAGCTAAATACCTAAAAAAAAGCTTTACAGTTTATTTTATAAATTAGTTGAACCTAAACCTTTAGTGCAAATGTATGCATTGTCATACTCTTGCTGCCAAGTTCACAAGAACTTTTTTTAGTTTTTTTCTTTTTACATAACAAACGCTTTTTTTTAAGGTTAAATATTTTAAGTATAAATGTTATAAACCTGTTTTTTAGCTTCAATTTAATTTAATGACAACTAGGATACAAAGTTAGACTTTTTATTTGTTCATCAGAATTAACTTTCTCTAAAAGCATAGTATTACAATTCTTTTGGGAATTAAGGTATGGCTCAAATGATCTGAATATTAACTCCATTTGTAAAAAGAATGCAAATGTTGTTTCATTAGCAAAAAATAAACTACCCACTTTGTGCTCTTTGTCTGTAACAAACTTTGTGTAATCAGCATTAACTCTATTTTTAGAAACTAGAGATCCAAAACAAATTGTGCAAACTTTTTAAATTTTTTTAACTCTAGAAATTATATAACCTGCAATATGAAACAAACAATTTTGCTCAGCATTACTTAAGATTAAGTTAGAGGTTTTATCCCAATCTTTAGGTAAAAAATGCAACCGCTTTGCTGTGGTTTATGCACATTACTATTAACTATATCAAGAAAACCAGATAAGAATTGACGGTCATCTATATCATAACTGCCTTTTGATAATTTTTTCAAGAATTGGGCAACGCAAATAAGTTTCAAGTTATTTTTAAATTGAAGAGCAGTAGGAATTACTTATTTTGCACGTACCAGGGAAAAAAGATTCTCCAGGCAATCCTGCGTAAATCGTGATGTCATTAGAAAATCAAACTTTTTTTTCAGAAGAAACTTATTTTGCAAGTTAATAACTGATGTTGTTGATAATATAACACCAGATTGAATAGGTTTCCACCTTATTTTTTCAGTTTGGCCTAATATTTTTAAACCATTGAATATCTCTATGACTTCATTTAAAAAAGTTATTGTTTCATTGTAACCTTTGTCATTTTTCATGCTAAGAGCCATACCTGGGTTTCGTGAAGTCATTATTGTAAACCATTTATCAACAATTCCTATAAACCAAGCAGTTGTGAGAATAGAATCATCTTTTATTTCACTTGCAATAAATTTTAATCCACAACTTACATCATGATTCATTACAGATGTTGCTCTTGATACTTTCATTTTGTTGAAATGTTTTTCATCAAGATGTTCAGATGTAAGCTTGTAAGCAAACTTCAAAATCCACAAACTTACATCATGATTCATTACAGATGTTGCTTTTGATACTTTCATTTTGTTGAAATGTTTTTCATCAAGATGTTCATATGTAAGCTTGTAAGCAAACTTCAAATCCATACCTTCTTGAAAGTCTACAAGCTTGTTAAGGTGTTTTGAATCTATAATTGGCGATTGAACTTAATATTTTTCTTGAATCTTAGCTGTTATTATAAAATGTTTGTTACATAAAAGAGATGTTCTTATATTCTTTAATAAACGTGGTACGTCTGCTAAAAAATCAATTGTACGAGTAGGGTCACATGGGTGTTAAATTGAACTAGAAATACTGCCACTTTTAGTACAGCTAATATTAAAATATTTCCACATTGCCTGGTTAATGGCACCCATATCAGAAGTAACACAATTAACTTTTAATCCTATTTCTTCAGTATACTTTATTATAGATAGGACAATGTTTTTTAAAACAGAACTTCCAGTATAATAATATGCAACAGTTTGTTTCCATCTTGTAGATATTCCTCCAAGCATAAAAACTAAAGCATGGTTAGCTTGGCCATAATGTTCAGGTAATGTAACAACTCCATAGTAAGAGCTTGTAGATGTGTCATAGTCAACACTTTCAGTTATTGACATTTCATCAAGAATTAAAACACATTCTTTTTCATGGATTTTCATGGCATTCACCTTAGTTTTCATAAACTCAAAGACTTCTGTTAGAATGCCACTTTGAAATTTTAAATTTTCTAATCTTCGTTGTAGGGTACGTAATGATGGGTATGGTAAGTTTAAACGAAGTAAATTTTCATAACCACTTTGACCACATGTAAATTTGAGTGTAAAATGTTAATTTTTTTTTTTTGAATAATGACTTTTTTTTCTAATCTCTCCAATTTCGCATTTAAATCTTGTATAAGTAAACTTTTATCAATCTCAGTTGTGCAAACTTCAGATAGTTTATTGTTATTTATTTCAATTAAAACATTTTCCACAACTTCTCCTCTTTTTATACAACTTATTTTCTTTTTCTTTTGGTATTGGAAAACGTTTGAGTGGATTTTTTCGCTTATGTTTTGCTCTAACATGTTTAAAGACAGTAGGAATTGCATTATGTTTGAGTTTTCTTGATCCATCTTCTCTGTTTTTTTCCCATTGATCAGCATCAAAGTGTACCTTAATAAAAAAATTGAACGAGTATAATGTATTTGTATGGATTCTAAAATAACTCATTTCTAGGATTAATTACATAAAGCTGTATTTTCTTATGCTTACTTCACATAAAAAGCTTGTGTTTGTAGGTACCCAGTTAAGTCGTTTAACTTTAGAAGTCCAAATCGCCCGTTGTTTTTCATTTCTTGGGAAGCATTTCATAATAAATCCCTGTTATGGCAGCCTACTGCAGCACAACCAGGCATACTTTTACAAATATTTAATACAAATTTAGTAGTAGACTTTAATCGCAGGTAGTATTTTTGGCAAAAAGATGGCGTCTAAAATCATGAAAATCGAACAACCAATCAAAAACGATCACACGTATGTCCGCTCTCTGAGTATATAGGCTCTCTACATAACATAATATTCACAATATAATATACAATAGCTGTAGAATATTTGCGATGCCTTTGGAAACTTTTGTAAAAGATCACGAACTTGAAAATTATGCTGAATCTATTTTAGAAAATGAGTACTTTTGAAAGTTTTAAAAATTGCATAAATCTAAAAAACACTTATCAACAATATAGCTGCTGAGAATGATAACAATTTTAAATTAAACTTTAACATCGAGATTTTGTTTTCACTAATAAAAAATGTGTTTTGCAAGATTATGGGAGGATTTTTTTTATGGCAATTAAATTATTAAGCAATTTAAAACTCTTCTTAAAATTTGTTCTAAAAATTTAAACGAGTCTTACGTTAAATATAAACTTCGAAAATATAAACCTTTGATACAAGGTTTATATTTTCGAAATTTGAAGTCATTTCTTCGCTCAAGACATTGTTAATAAGCATTAAGCAAAAAAACAAAAACAGGAGAACAACCAAAAAAAGAATTACATAAAAACATGAAACAACCATATAGACTAAAAAGAAAGCTTAAAAAATAATGTTTTTGTTTTTTCTATTCTAAATATAGTTCTTTTTTTACTAGAGTAAAAATCAACTTTAAATATTTAGGTCAAAAAAAAGACTAATGTGTTATTTGCTCATTTATTTTCTTTTTTTTTTATTGTTGTACACTTATTTTAATATAATGTACAATATATATATAATATATATATATATATATATATATATATATATATATATATATGTATATATATATATATATATATATATATATATATATATATATATATATATATATATATATATATATATATGTATATATATATATATATATATATATATATATATATATATATATATATATATATATATATATATATATATATATATATATATATATATATATATATATATATATATATATATATATATATATATATATATATATATATATATACCCAGCCAACATTGACAGACAGGTACCGTATGGTTTTTGTCTGGGCTGACGGGAACGGGATTTTAACGGGTAAGTGTTTTGGTTTCCAGACGGGTCCCATATGGTAATAAAATCAAGCATATTTGCTTGTTAGGGTTTTATCTGGTTTTTATCAGGGCCGAATAACCTGGGGATTTGACAGGTTTCCCATAAGGTTCCCAAAAGGTTTTTAAAAAATCATACTCGATGGTTGCCATTTTTAATTTGTATTGTGCGTGAAATAAGATTAAAAATTTATTTTTTATGCATTTTTTGAATGCATTATATTTACATTGTAATTAAAAAAATTTTTTTTTTTGATGTATTTTGTCACTGTAAAACTCAGTTAAAAAGACGTTGTTTTAAAATTTCATTTATTTATTATCATTATGAAAGAATTTTTATATATTATATATATTATATACATATATATACATATATACTATTTTTTAAATGAATTTACAAAATTCAACATATTTGTTGAACATATGTTCCAGAAACTATTAAACATGTAGTAAATGTTCCATTGAGACACTGTTTGGATTTTCAAAATGATCAAAATATAAAGTTTTGTTTCTGCTAGTCACTAGCAGAAACAAAACTTTATATTTTAATCATTTTAAAAATGCAAACAGTGCAAACTAGCAGCTAGTGATATAATTAGATAATAAATGGTTTGAGTTTAATCAAAATATTAGTTTAGCCAGAAACATTTAAAAAGAGCAAACAGGCGAATAGAATGTAATGGATAGGTTATATTTAGGGAATTAAAAGCTTTTAAATCGTTTTTACAGATCCACTCTTTTCCATTGATTTTTCTATATTTTATGCAAGCAAAATGACTGATGTTAACGAAGTTTACCCACCGTCAGATATAAATAAAGATATAATTACATGTTTAAATGCAAAAATATGGCTTTATTGTTATGCATCAACCTCATTTTTAATCATTGATATTTTTTGATTTTGATTTAAAATTGTACACTTGCAATATAAACAATAATTTCATAATATACATAATAACAACTTATACTTACAATACCTATACTTGTAAATACTTGTAATATAATACTTATGTTTATAATACTGATAAAAACTTTTATTGATATAAACTTTTGCATTCAAACTTTAGTTATAAAACTTTAATTCAACTTAATAACTTTTACATAAATAACAATAACTAAAAAAAGATGTTAGTTATTATATAGATTATAACCATATGCTTATTTATTATAATTGAGTTACAGTAAGTTAAACAATATAAAATGTTAAGTTCCAGGAAATATGTCTTATATGATATGTATCTTATGTATATCTTGTATTTTGCAGCATGTTAAAGAATATTTCTGCATGGTGCACTCTGACTGTTGACAATATTTGCATATTGATATGAGTAAAAGTGACTTCAACAACCAGAATGTGTTTTTGATAAATATTAATAATAACAGGTTAGTAAATATAATTATAGTAATAATGGCGATAACTTTTTATTATTAGAATTAGTATGAGACTTATGTATAATAGAGCTATATTAACTTTGGGTGACAAATATAATAACTTGAGTAAATATTACTGTTGTTTATAACCTCGATTAGAGTAATGCAAGTAAATATTATTTTTATCTAAAGAATATTTGGCAAAAGTCAGTATTTCCAAAGTAATAAATATTATAAAAAAACATGTGTTTAAAAAAAAAAATTTAAATGTATAATAAAATAAAAAAATAAGTATTTGAGTATAAAAAGAAACACTATTATTATAATGTATAAATTATTATAATATACATATTAATTTATACATTATAAAAAAAACACATTTATTATTATAATGTATATACATCACATTAACTATGTTGTCTATAAAATAGGGGTTGCAGCTGATATTTCAGCTTCAGCTATAAACTCAATAGCTTCAGATTAATGCTGAAGCTGATCAAGTCAGTTTAATCATCTTAATAGCTGATAGTAAAAGAGAATATTACTCCATAAATATTTTATATAAAACATATTTTTATATAGGAATTTATTCAATGAAAATCTAAAATAGTGACAAAATTTACAAAAACATACATGTAAATTTTAAATAAAACTTGCCAAAAGTTGTTGCTATTTATAAATGTTGCCATCAGAGCCTTGGCCTAGGACTTACAATATTAGGGGACCCAAATTATGTTTTTTAGAAATTTGTTTAAAAAGTGGTGCCAAGAAATCTAATTCCGTTTTTAATTATCTTAAGGGGACCAACTATCTTTTGTTCAAAAAGAGTACACTTTGCAATTATTTCATAGGTAAAAAAAAAAGGAAGTCAAAACCATATAAATCTTTATTTTTTTTTTTAAAACATATTTTTCGTCAGAGTGGATTTTTTTTGCTAGATGAGGATGTTCGTCTAATAATGTAGCTGCATCCGAACGTTAAATTTTATATTAAATTTGACTGCATATAATGTTTTTACAGAAAGTTGCAACTTCTCTTCCGATTTCTTCAAAAAGAAAATTGTCATTAATAACAATATCTTTTACTTCCTTTATTACAAATTCGACTGCTGAATAAACTTATTTCCATTAAATTTTACTATTTATAAGGGCCCATTTAAAACAATTCAATGCTCTTAAGTTCATTATCCATTCTTCGATATATTCATAGCAAATTTATTAAAAATTTTAACTTCTATTAAAATTTTTTTTTTCCGGGTTTGGAATCTTCCAAAGCGGTCAATTTATAGGCTTTAATATAGCCTTTAATATTGTATATAGTAGTGTATGTATATATTTTTTTATTTAAATTTGCCTTTAATTTGTTTTTTTATATTTTTCTGCAAAAAATTTTTTGTGTCACTTTATCCTTCTGAACTTATGTGATTAAGTTTTTGTTTTCTCTTACCTATTTTCTCACTCATCTTATTTCATCCGTTCATTTTCTCTTTTTTTTTTCATTTTTCTTAGCGTTACTCTTTTATATTTTGTGTTAATTCCAACTTTTTAAATAGTATTGTTCCTTATACTTCTTTTTTTATTACTTGTATTAATGTAGTTTTCTTTCTTATTATCTTTTATTTTATGTGTTTATTTTATGAAGGTGTCGCTCCATTGACTTGTTTTTAATATGAGTGACACCAAACATAAATTTGTAAATTATAATTAAGTTTGTAATTTTTGATTTTATGGTTAATTAACCATAAGCGCATGCGTAGTATGTACAGTATGGTTTTTGTTATCCTTTTATTTAATTAGATAAATGGATAAAAAACTTTGCTGTACATACTACGCATGTGTCAAGACTGTCCAGCATGGCGTACATACTGCACATCAAAGATCAGCCTGGGGATTACATATGCAAATGTTGGATCCATCTCTTTTCACAAATGTAATTTTGACATTGTTAGAGTAAGAGGTCTGTAGTATCTATCTATCTCTCTACGTATATAATACGGCCTCTCAATTGTGTTGCAAATGGCAGCCATATGTGCGCTCAAAATTTAAATCACTGTCAAACTTGTGTCTGGTGTTTGCCCTGTCCTCTGATGTGCTTGAAACGGCAAGCAAAATGTGCACATGAAATTCAAATCACTGTCAAAATAATTTTAAATATTTAATTAATAAAATTGAAATGAAATAATATAAAAAAAAATGTTTTAGAAATACAAATGAGTACAAAATTATACAAATGAGTACTTTCAGAGTACAGGATTTGAAATAGGTGATAAAAGAGTAAAAAAACTCAGTAAATGAGAATAGCAGGTCACCTTAATTGTCTACATAATTTTTTGGTAGATTTCAAAGTTCTTGCAAAAGATGGTTTTATCTATGAAAATATTGAGTTTAAAATCAATCTTGCTGTTATCATATGTGATGCACCAGCTAGAGCATTTGTAAAGCGTATTAAAGGACACAATGGTTATAACTGATGTGGATGTTGTGCTTAGAAAGGAGAGTGGTGTGGCAAGATAATTCTCCTACATATTTCACTAATTTTAAGCACTGATTCAGATTTTTTGTCATTAAAAGCATTCTGAACATCTTAGTGGTATGTTAAATTGAATTAAGTTTTGACATGGTGACAAAGTTTCCTTTAGACTTAATGCATCTAGTATGCTTAGGGGTAATGGGAAGATTTCTCAACTTATGGTTAAATTGCCCAAATGTTGTAAATTGTCTCAGATTACAGTCAATACTTTATCTGGCGGATTGTTCCAGATACGTCATAACATTCCAAGAATTTTTATCTAGAAAATCAAGGTCTTAATTTGATATTAAAAAATGATAAACAACTGAGCTTAAACTATTTATAGTAAACACTTGATTAGTTGTTTAAAGGAAATGGTTTAGCCAAAAATGTATTCAATTTTTTAGATTTTTCAGTTGTAGTTCTACTTTCATAATGTTTCATTTTGTTGAAAAAATATGTTAATTTTGCTTTTCAGCCACTTATTTTTATATGTGAACTTTATCATAAGGATCAACTAGTGTACAATGTCCATTCATTTGCACATATAGGAAATAATACAGTTAAATTTTAGATGTCCCTCTTTCAAATACAAAACTTTTTCAGGTCAATTAAAAAGTGTTTGTCTAGGGGGCTCATTTGCAAATTTAGGGGCCCTTTTACAAATGTAAGAATTTTTTTTTTTTAGGATTTTTATTTAGATTTTGTTTATCTATTGGAAAAGTTTTTAGGAATTTTGGGGCCCTTATGACAGGTTTTTTTTTGGAATGGGGGACTTGTATCTAGTTGCCACGGCACTGTATATAAGGTATATACAATATATATCAAATTATATACAATATAAATAAAAAAATATATTTATTTAATAATTTTATATAATTTATTTATCAGTAACTAAAGGAATGTTATCAATTTATTATATGAATCATAAACATGTGCTTATCTATTACAAATACCTTTGATGGTGAAAATTACATTTTTTGTCTGAAGAGAGTTAGGAGAAATTGTAAGAGTTTTATAACATATTAAATTAATGTAAGTGTTACCAATAAAATTTAAAACTAACAGTTAAACTTAATTTTTTACAGTTCATATTGAAACGAGATATTGTGTAAAGAGGTTTTCAAAGAAGTCGTTTTAACAACAATGGAAAAGCTTCCGATTCCCGAAACGTGAAAGCATTTGATACATGATTAAAGAATCGTTCAAAAGTTTGCTTAATTTTGACAGTGTAATTTTAATAATTTTTTTTTTTTGAAATAAACCAATCAATTTATTTATAAATTTGCTTTTTCTGTAAATTTTAAACATTTAAACGTAGTTTTGCAAGATTTGCAATGGGTAAACCTCGTGGGACCCTCACGGGATACCCGGCGGGCATACCCATATGGGCCCCAGAAGAAAACCGCGGCCATGATCCGGCGGGTTCCCGATGGGTTTCCCATATGCAAACCCAAATGGGTCCCTTACGGTTTTAAAGTACGGGATTTGACTGGGACCCATACGGGATACCCGGCGGGCTAACCCATATGGGTCGCATATGGAAACCGCGGTCATGATCCGGCGGGATACCGTTGGTCTTCCCAAACGGGACCCAGTTGACGACCCGTATGGGCCCCGTACGGTACCCGTATTTCAATGTAGGCTGGGTATATATATATATATATATATATATATATATATATATATATATATATATATATATATATATATATATATATATATATATTATATATATATATATATATATATTATATTTATATTATATATATATATATATATATATATATATATATATATATATATATATATATATATATATATATATATATATATATATATATATATATATATGTATATATATATATATATATATATATATATATATATATATATATGTATATATATGTATATATATATATATATATATATATATATATATATATATATATATATATATATATATATATATATATATATATATATGTATATATATATATATATATATATATATATATATATATATATATATATATATATATATATATATATATATATATATAGATATATATATATAGATATATATATATATATATATATATATATATATATATATATATATATATATATATATATATATATATATATATATATATATATATATATAAACTACTTATAAACCAATATAGTTGTACAAGATCACCTCTTGATAATCTATTCTCTAACATTGGGAGATTATATATTAATATTATATGCACTGCTACACTATAGTAATACATAGTAACATAAGAGTTTGTGATATAACGCAACGTCATTATGATATGTTTTAATAATTATTACACTCTATATATTATCTGTAGTAATTGTTTACAACTTTTTTTTATCATCTGGCTTAAATTGATTTTCACAAGCAAAGACTTTTCCAGAGTTTATTTGCTTTGTAAAATATATAAAATACTCTATAATAAATATATACAAAACTGTGAAAAGCTGATAAAGCCTTGAGTCTACTGTTACTAGACTCTAAACCAGTAATATTTTAAATGCTTCAAAAATATTTTACATTTTTTATAAATATATAGTAAATAAAACAAAGCACCTTGTGTTTGTAGATTATAATGAACTAAAATAGTAATTTTTCTATCGTAAATCACCTGTTTAAATATTATCTGACTTGAAGTACATCTCCAGACTATCAACGAGTTTATAAAACAGTATTCAGTTATTTAATTTGCTCATTAATCTTAATGAGTAAACTAACAAAATGAATTTCTAATTTATACTCTAATAAAGCAGAAAACGTGTTCGTTTTTTGCTTACGATACGTAATTAATTAAACATTTTATTATCTCTAACAATGCTCTCTTTAAAAAATAGTGTAGAATCTATACAAACAATATTACTTCATTTTCAAGAGTTTGTTTAATGAACTTCATTCAAAAATCACATTATGTTACAAGCGTTATACAACGTTAATAAGTTTGTGTGCACGGTCACGCTTGATTTACGCTCTATTTTTGTGTCAATAAGTTAAACAATGAAATTTCGCCCTTAATTTTACTTACAGCGGCAGCAATAATATCATTTATAGAGTGATCTTTCTTTTTTTGAATTTTTAATAGCAAACTAAAATAGATTGATCAGAGAGTTCTCCAGAAAAATATGATCACCATAATGTTCAAGTTATTTTTGTTTTAAAGATTTTGTTGAGTAATACGGATAACCATTACTAAGTTCTTTCATCGTAATGTGCACATCGGAAAGTGTATAAATTTCGCAGTCACACTTTTTTGAAAACAACGTAAACAAATACAATACAAGAGCAACGGGAAACTTTAAAATACCCTTTAAAAAAACTAAACTCTCAAATTTAAAAAAAAAAATTGTGGTCCCTATTTATTTAACGAAAATAATTTCTAGAAACGAATCGCTAATAAATTTAAACAACGAACAGTCCCTGAAAACTAAGTTAAAATCTACAATAATGAAGTTAAACAACTACAAGGAGTTGTTTTAAACTCCAATTTAAAAATAAAAAAAATATAAAACAACCCTAATAAAACAAAAAATGTAACTTTTCAAAGGAAACAATAAAAATAATACTAAAAGGAGATAGTAACATTAATAAATTTAAGGCATATATGTACCACGTACATATTTACCACGTATGCAACTGATTTTTATATGTATTACACGTCTAGAAGGTACTCGATGACATGACTGACCCCAGTCTTCTGCGAGCTTTTTATAACTACACACAATTAATTATTTTCTTCAATCTTATACAAATCTTGTTTTTATCATACTTATATATATATATATATATATATATATATATATATATATATATATATATATATATATATATATATATATATATATATATAATTTCATTTTATTTTATTATTTTTTTTTTTATTTGCATTCACTCCCAACAAGGCTGCAAGCAACCACTATTAAGTTGGAAGTTACTAGGAAAAAAAGAACAGAGTTATAGAGCAAGAAAACGATTGACAGAAGACTTGAAAAATTGAAGGTTGTATGAGTCAGGAAAACATGAAGATGGGAGAAAGTTCCAAAGGATTGAAGTGCGGAAAAAAAAACTAGATGAATAAAAGTTTTTAGAGCATGCAGGGACAGATACAGTAAACGAGAGAGACTTAGCTGAATGACGAGTAAAACAAGAATTAATTTTAGTTGATGGAACAAAATTTCATTCTCGTCCAGGTCCAACAACATTTACAATGCGTTTTTGGACCTTATGAAGAAGAGAAAATGAATCGTTAGAAGAACCAGCCCAAATATGACAACAGTATTCCATACAGGAACGAATAAAAGATTTGTAGAGGTAGAGCATGGAATCAGAAGTAAGAAAATGGTGAGCACGATAAAGAGAAGCAATCTTAGCAGAAGCTAATTTAGCAATCGATTGTATATATGGTTTCCATGAAAGGTCAGTAGTAAGCTATAATCTAAGAAGAAGTAAAGAGGAAGACTCAGTAAGAGGATTGCCATTCATTAAAATAGGAATGTTGACCATATTACGGTAGTTGTTTGCAGTAAGCAACTGGGTTTTTTTAAAGTTGAAATTCACAAGCCACTGTGAACCCCATTCTATTACTGAAGTGAGATCGGATTCAAGATCAGCTGCTTGTTTTAGGCGATCGAAAAGAGAAGACTTTTTGTCAAGACAGGAGTATAAAGTTGAGTCATCACCAAAAAGAGCTACTTTAGATGAAAGGTTGTCAGGAAAAATGTTTATGTAGATAAATAACAAAACAGGGCCCAGGATAGAACCTTGGGGAACCCCAGAAGTTACTGGAAATAAAGAAGAGTGTTGGCCTTCAAGGATGATTTTAATAAACCGGTTAGAAACAAATGACTTGATAATCTCTAAAACTTTACCAGAAACACCATATGAAGCAAGCTTATGGAGAAAACCAGCATGCCAAACTTTGTCAAAAGCTTTTGATATGTCGAGAGCAATAGCTCTAGCCTCACCGCCTCCATTTAATGCATGATAAAATCTTTTAGTTACAGCAGTTAGCAAGTCGGCCGTAGAGTCAACTTGCTAACTGCTGTAGTCGAAAACCGTATTGATTGTCTGACAGTAGTTTATTTGACTCAAGATGAGATGTGAGGAATTTGTTGATCAAAGACTCAAAGACCTTGCTAATAACAGAAAGAAGACTGATCGGACGATAATTGGAGGGGTCAGAATTATCTCAAGAGTTTTTGAATATTGGAACCATAGATGCCATTTTCCAATAAGCAGGAAAACAAGACTCAGTCAAACACTTGTTAAATAGTTTAGAGAGAATTGAAGAAAGTTCTGGAGAACAATTCTGCAAAACTGTGACAGGAATGTTGTCTGGACCACAAGCTGTAGACGAGTTTAATTGAGATATGACTTTAGGAAAAAAGTTGGAGGGATTTGAATGTCTAACAATGGGTCAACCTGTTTGACTGGAATGGAAGAAAGAGAATGGACATAAGATTCAAGAGTGGAATTAGAAGAACAGTTCTGTGCAAATAGTTCTGTCTTATCTTTGGGAGAGGTAATAAAGTCAGTCCCATGAATGAGAGATGGAATGTTAGATCTACCCTTGTTAATAATGCTGTTGAAGATTTTACAAAAGTCTTTAGAGCCAAACTTCTGCGATAAGATGGAGATATAGTGAACTAAGAATAATGGAGTTTAGCATCAGAAAGCACCTTTTTACATTGATTACTTGGAAAAATAAATAGCCGTTTGTTCTCAAGAGAGTTGTTCATTTGAAAAAGATGAAAAAAATGATTACGATTGGATATAGCAGCCGCCCAAGAAGGAGAAAACCATGGAGTAGGATGAGGCTTGACTTGAAACCGACGCGAAGGAATAAAAGCTTTCATTCTAGCCTGAATCCAGGAGGTTCCGTAAAACGCGCATTTGTCAGCTGAGAGAGAAAAAACATCAGCCCAAGGACCATCACGAAGAAAATCACGAAAGGAATCCCAGTCAACTTT